AGTATCAGGACTTCCACAGGTACAGAAATGCAGTCACACTCATTGCATTACAGTGTGTGTGAGTCTTCACTGGTACACACTGGAAATGTCTGCAGTGTTGACAGAATACTGAATCATTTACCTAAATTGATTGTAAGAGTAACTTGTGTAACTTAAAATACACTCATGTATATAATAGTATTACAGTCAATTAATTCAAGGTTTTAGCAACAAAAGTAGACACTTTAAGGTACATGCATTCAAGATACATTTGAGAAAAAGTTGTATGTGGTGATGAATGTAATGTTGGTGATGTGATTGTACTTGCTTTCCAGCCTTAGTGTATTTAAAGGTAGTTAAAGTGGTTGAACCTTCCATTAGGGTCACTGAGGTTCCGGACCGAGGTGTATATAATAAAAGTTGGGAAATAATTGCCTTACACTTACGGGGCTCTATTTGTTTTGCAGTATGTTTAAGTTACATTGCTGCTAAACAAGTCGGTTTCATTCGAGCATTTCCTTGATTTAGAAGCATGTATCTAAAGCAAGGAAAACCTTGCTATTTATAAAATAGTAACTCCGCTGTACAACAGAACAGAAACAGCCTATCATTCTTCCTTATGATATTAATCTAGTTCTGTCAGATGTTGGACTCCATCATATATATTAAGGGATAAAATAGACTTCATTGTAAAGAATGGCTTCATTTTCAACTGTATTACGCTTTCTTTAAAGTGATTGTGGTATAGTTGTGACCACATTCCTCACTAACCTCAGTAGGACCTCTCCCCTGTGTCCTCAGGTTCATGGTAGACCTGCAGGCTGAAGTCCAGGAGATGGAGTTCCTGCAGTTCTCCAAAGGTATGGACACCATGAGGAGAGAAGACTTCGCTGAGTGGCTGCTACACTACACCAACGAAGAAGACAACGAGGCGTACTGGGAGAACATGAGGAAGAGGATCCCTGCTGGCCAGGTGAGAGGACTTTCATCACAAAAATTCTGTGAAAAGATTGAATCTAGTTTATTGGTTGACTGAAATGTTGTCTTGCAGAGTATCTCCTTCAAGGAGTTCAAAGCCTTCTGTCTGTTCACCAACAATCTGGAGGATTTTTCCTTTTCTATGAAACTGGTCACTGGAACCAACCGGCCTGTTGGAATGGGTAACGCCTCTCTTCATTACCATGTGGGTATTTCTCTCTCAGACTGCAGACAGTAGATGATCACATGTTTCCTTCCTCTCATTGCAGCCCAGTTCAAACGAGCAGTGAGGATCGCCACAGGCCACGATCTGTCTGACAATGTTCTGGATACTGTCTTCAAGCTCTTTGATATGGATGGAGATAAGTGCCTGAGCCACAAGGAGTTCATGGGTGTGATGGCTGACAGAATACGGCGAGGCCTGAAGGTGAGCCTGGTCATCCTTTTATTTATATACAATAGCCATCCAAAAAAAAGTCACCAACTGGATTTAACTAAGCAAATCTGTAAGAGCCTTCAATTGGATAATTAGTGTGAATGCTGTTTACAGCATTCCACTATAGTTCTTGGAATCTTTATTCTTACTCTTATTATTTCAGCCAATACTTTGGCACTCCATAACTTCAGTTTATTTTCAGCTACAGAAACCATTCAAATATCAAACTATTCAGCCTGTTCAGGAATTGATGGGAAACTTTCAACTTTTTCAAAATATTTCATACTTTTTGAAATATTCAGCTTTTTAAACTCTTTTTTTAACATGGAAGTCAATGGGAGGAACCTTCAAATCCTCTTTTATCTACACCTTGCACCAAATGCTTCTCCTTCCACATACTTTCAGCCAGAGACTTCATTCCAACTTTAAAATGATCACAAGACCTTCAGCTATTCAATTCATATTCACATGTTTGATATCTTTTACACTTTTTGAGATATCTAACTTAGTTCGGAGCTTGGTAAAGAGGCTTTCTTCAGATTTTAACATTAGTATATGTGTATTGAGCAGCTCGTTAAGGCTTAGAGTGCTTTGATCTCAAAACAGAGTGGAGGACAGCTTGAATTTCCTACACTCCTTGGACATCATTTTTCATGAAAAAAGTAGGAAAACCTCTCCTAGGTTGAAAAATAAAAAAAATGAAGAAAATAAATTAAACAAAATGCCTCTTGAGGGCATGAAGAGATAAAAACTTGTCAAAAATTCCACCTAGCTCCCAATAGACTCCCATGTAAACAATTTCCGGATCTTTCTTCAGAACAGAGAGAAGTAAACTTTAAACAAACTGTTCCCATCTCCACATTTTACACACAAACCCAAAAAAACAACATATCAGTTCATTGGGGTTCCCTGATGCTCACGGTCCATTCATTTTTTGATAGGAGCCATAGTTTTTGAACAGGTGGCAAAATGGTCAGATATAATCCTCAATGCATTCTTAATGGGACTCAGTGCTGCAGCTGGTAACCATGGTGTTGCTGGGCAGATTGAAAGCTTTGATCTCTGGGCTCACACATGATTATTTGTTATGATCAGGTGCTCAGCACAGAAACAAACACTGACACACTGGACTTTAACAGACTGTCTCAGCCTATTCTTTTCTGTCTGATGGAGACTTCATACTGACTTCAACAGGTTCCACATATTTTATACATTATTGGTGACGTTTGGTTTTAGTCGAAAAGTTTGCAGTCAAAATCTTCTTCTGCTTTCCCAAGCCTTTTTACTTTCTTTTCTCATCTTAATACACATTCATTCACTACTACTTACATCTGATATGTAACTCCTTCAGCCTATTTTCAGCTGCAGAACCCATTCAACTATTACATTATTCAGCTATTTCTGCTAAATTCAGCAACAAATGTAGTTTACAGCATTCACACACATTTTCTGCAGGAAATGCATTTTCTAGTTACTGCAGTGATTCATGTTTCAGATGGCAACACGTTATTTAACCCTAGCTAATGTGGTGTTTAGCTTCTTATTTCTTAAGCAACCATGTCGGAAGACATCTCCTGTGGTCGAGGAAAGGATGTTAATCAGTTTCAGAAGGGGCAAATGATTGGCCTGCATCAAGCAAAGAAAAAAAAGGAGATCGCTTAAACTACAAAAATCGGGTTAAGAAATGTATTAGTAATGCCGTACTCAAAGCTAAAGGCGGTGCAACTTTTTTTGTGTGTGTATATATATATATATAGAGTTGTGCAGGAATGCGTCCTAAACCTGAAAATCCCTCATCTCGAAGTCAATGTTTGTTTCAACAGGTAACTGGTTATTCTGAAAGAAGACATGTTATCACAAGCTTTAGAGATGTTCATGTTCTTCTCCAAAATAAAACTGAATGTCTGAAGCTTCTATAGGCGCGTTCACACCGGAGTACTTTTCCCCTTTAGTTCCGTTAGCACCCCTTATGTCGCGTTCACACAAAAATGTGATGTATACGCCGTGAAGTTGTTTGCGGCCTGCCAGTAAACCCAAAGCAGAAGAAGACGAAGTGACGTCAGCTAACTAAGTACTTGGTGTGAAAGCAGCTTATGAGTCTCAAAAACAGCTGTTAGCTTTTCACTTCTGGCAGTTGCATGTATGCTTGTAACTAAGTGGTGTTAATGTGGAGATGATCCTGCTGAACACAACATGTGAGTATCATAAACGTGTTATTTTTGCAATATTCCATAATCCAATCCTTTTTAGCTCTTGCTAATCTACTGGGGCAGGCTACACAAATACATCCCACTATTTACTGACGTATTTTATGTTGTAGAACAAAACATGAAAATGTCATGGCCATTTCTACTGATCTTAATTCCATTGTTGAGGTCTACTAAAATAGATTTATATTGTGCATTGGTTTCTCAAACAGCATCTCTGTATAGTATGTGTATTCACTCTCTGTCCTAAACGGCTTGTTGGAGCTCCTGCCCCCCCCCCCCCCTCACAGCCGAAGTAAAACAATAAGTGTGGCTTGATATTGAGTCAGAAAAAGGTTTATAAACGCTGTGAGAATGGGTCTGCGGAGAGCATTTCTCAGCCATCCCAACTCATCTATTACCCAACCAGGGGACTCCCTGTTAGTTGAACATTTACAAAGGTCCCCACCCCTCCTGGTGTGTGAGGAGCTCCGCGCATTGGTCCATTTTGGTTTTGAAACAAATGGAAAAAGAGAAATGTCCAACGAGGCGTTCTGGGGCAGCAGACAGGTCTTCTCTGTGTTAGAGTTGTACTCGCTACAGGGTGTACTTTGAGGGTTTGTGACTCTGCAGACCTTTACATGCAGAAACACCTTCATAACACAAGGGGACGGTAACAACCAGAAAAGCATGACATGGGACCTTTAAGCTTGTGTTAACCATGGACCTTCTTTCAGGGATCTGACAAAAACACATTCACGGTTGAAAATGCTAACTCATTTCCGGGATTAAGGACTCATTCCTGCACCAACTTGTTGTGCTCAGATTGCTGTTAGAGTTTCAGTGTGCTGTGATGAACTCTGTCTTGCCCGAAGGTGCAGCACCAGAGTGGCTTCTCCGGCTACTGGAAATGCGTGAAGCGAGAGACCCTGAAGGGAGCTAAGGAGGCCCTGGGGGACACCGGGTGCCCCATCTGAACCACTCTGACCACCGGCCGCCTTGGTGTTGTATAATCAAAAAAGGGGTGTGAACAATATTTTTTCAGTTACCACATTTCAAGAACCAAAGCATTTACACCACTATCTTTTGTAAAAAATAATGTTTACAGATCATCTATTGTGTGATATTAGCTGTGAGTGTTTACAATATTATATTTGACAGTTTGTTCTGCCCATTATGATGAATTAGGCATTTTATATTTAGAATATCTAACCACTTTTAAATAACCTTTGCCCATTACACACTTTCTCTCCCGCAGACTGGTTGGGTACATTGATGCATTCTCGAGGGCTTATACAATATCTGGTGTGGGGTTTTCATGTTCTTTTGTGAAATATTTATCAAATAAAGGTTTATGAAAGTACCAAAGTCTCCATAATGTTCTGCCAATCTGAGCCTCAAAGAATAAGCCAGCTATGACCGATGACTATTTTGTAATTTATTGTAGAATTGACCTGTTAACATCACGAGTATGTGGTTAAACCATTGAAGATTGTGGTGCTAATTATCTTAACATACATTTCATTCTAAAAGTAAATAGACAAAACAAGCTTACCTCTGTGATAGATGAACAAATTAGTGACCAATGCCAAGGTTATCAGTGAGTACAGCATATACAGCTACAATACAATAAAATTACATTGAGCAGGAAGCCATCTTTGGTCTTCTTATCACTATAAACAAATGCATATAAATTTGTATTGTATCAAAAATAGAAATTACATAGCCATATTGAAAGTAAATTCACATTGTTGACATACAATAGAAGGAGAATACCTAAGAGACATGATGTGAGATTACATTTTTTCAATCCTTGGCTTTAAGGACCCAATGGTTTTGCCAGTTTGAACATTCATTTGTTTTTTTGAAAATGTCCAATCTGTCAATATCGCTGCCACCCATATGTTTAGGACAGTATGCAACTTGTATAACAGTAACACAAATGAAAGACCAAATAGATTGTCATTCCTAAAACAAGCGTGTGCTTTCTATCCTGGGCTCTGAAGGCGTGGGAGTCGTGTGGCGCAGTGGAATAGTGCGCTGGTGTTGGGTTCAGGGGGTCACAGGTTCAAACCCCACTGCAGTCAGCATGTCGTTGTGTCCCTGAAGACACCTCACCCCAAATTGCTCCTGTGAGGATCGCCCACAGTATTGAGTATGTAAGTCGCTTTGGATAAAAGCGTCTAACAAGTGTCATGTAATGTAATGAAGGCGAGGCCTGATGGAGAGGAGAGGTTTGGTCAGGATCCAGCTGTGACGAGTCCTGACAGAGGACACGCCCCTCTCCTCATCAGTGAGTCTCGGTGTGTCCTTAGTTAACAGTGTGTGTAGCTGTTCTTCTGTTCTCAGAGGCACACACGATGAGCTGCAGCCACAGTGGCCCTCTGCTTGAGATTATAGGGAAGTGCTTTCAAAGTGTTTGATCCACTGTGGAAAAGGAAGAAAGAAGGTGTGTTAATAAACAGTAGGGCAACACTGGACAGCTTTCTGGTCTTTTTCAAATCAGGCTGCTCAGTCCTTGAGGGTGGAGTTCAGTCGACATCACAACTGCAGTTTCACCGTCACTGCTGCTAGCTACACTGTAAGAAGATTATAGTACAGTTCAATTTAGCAACAAATTAAATAAAACATTGGTTTAACCCTCCGTCAATGTCCTGCTGCTAATCTGGATCCAGGTCACGTTATTCACAATACATTAGTGAAATTACCGACATACAGCTAGGAGGTCAAACATGTCAATAAATATTCTAAATAATCTAACAATTTATATACAAAAATTGCGAATATTTGATTAGACATTATGCATCTCTGAAGTGTAAATGAGCACTGCTCCATTCTTGTGTGTGGAGTTCCAGTCAGCACCATCAGAATCCTGAGCATGGACTCTTTTTAACGTTCAATTTAGAAACAAAAAGGTTCATTCATCCAACAACTTCCTGCTGCTCGTCTAGGTCACATGATTGAATACTCGCATCACAGAGATGATTGTCAGTTATAGCTGGAAGGGACAAAACGACGTGATAAAAGTCTTACATTTCAGTTGGTGCAGAAATGGGGTTTCCTACCGTCGTGTCATGTATATTTGAGATTTCCCTGCTTTAATATGATCTCTAAATCAGCTTCAAACTATTGATGTATCTCGACACCATGGCAGGCTACTCCTTAGATGTATGTCTTAATAGTAAAGAGGTGATCATGTGCTAAATCCATGGGTTCTACATTTCTAAATAAATAACATGCAAAGTGTTTCTGCTTCACAAACTGCAGAAGAGAACAAATGCATATCTGTCAGTGACGGGTTGTGGATGTCAGTTACAAGCCGAGTCAAAGTTACTACTCGTGTTTCTTGAAAAGGTTAAACAAATATATGCAATGTTAATGTCCCTGTTACTCGAGCTGCCAACTGAGAATCTTGTATAACACAAAGCACTGTGATGAGATGTTGCAATAAGCGTTATTCATCTGTGTGTTTTAAGATATATTTGAGTGACTCTTTTCACAGATGTCATACAGAACAATCTTTTGTAAAAAGCTACAATCTGACCTCACTTCTGTGAATGGACTCTCCTCCCCTTTGTGTGCTCTGTTGTGTTTAGAAGATGACGTCCCCTTGAACTATTATGCTGATAAAACTAAGAGGGCATAAGGACTCAAAGATGACCTGAAAGGTTATTATTGTGGAGTTTAGATTTGTGTTATTCAATGTATTGTCTTCATCCCTGTGGTGTTAACTGATCAAATAAAGATATTTGACCATGATTTACAAAGAAAACCTTTTTCTTCTTCCGCTTACCATTCACCACAAGAGGATGGAGACGTCAAGGGTCGCTCTCCTTCTTTACTGTCACGTCTCCGTCTCCGGCCAGGATGGTGGAGATCTCTCCCTGCATGAAGGCCCAAGGCACCGAGGAACCAGCCAGGGGACAGCGCTCTCCGCTGGGGCAGTACACCTCCCCACCCTGACCCTGGCTGCGGATGAATCCTCTGGTACAGGGGAAGCAGAACTTGTGGTGCGGGACAGACGGACACTGGACGAAGTGAGTGTCCTCCAGGCGCTCTCTGCAGAGGGTGCAGCACAGCAGGGTGCCCTGAGAGCTGCTCGTAGACTCACCAGCACTGGCGTTGGTGCTCGGCCCCCCCACACTCAACCCCTGACCCAAGGCTGCCTGGGAGACCGAGGTGGAGGAAGTTGATGGGCTGCTGCTGGTGGGACGCCCAGCTGAGGAGGAATGGGCTGTGGACATGCTGGGGCTATCTCTGGCCATCTGACTGGAGCTCAGGCTGTCTGCGACTCCCATGAGCGCTGAGATGGGTGAGGGCTGGCTGTGTAGACGGGGTGGACCCTCCTGAGGGGCAGCCATGCCAGGAAGAGGCTCCATGCCTGAGTAAGCACCTCGTGGCCAGGGCTCTCTCGCCGGGTGATCAGGCCTGCCTTCGCTCTCTCCGTTCTCAGAGCCCGGAGAAGCCTTGCGACGCCGGGTGGTGTTCTTTGCTGCTGCAGGGCGTCCAGCTGCTGCCATAGGCAAACCTGCATCTGGCTGTGGCAGGACCTCTGGAATGGGGGGCTCTTTAAACATTCGCACACCATCATTCAACAGCTCAGACAACCCACGCCAGTCTCCAGTGCCTTGCCGCTTCTCGTATTCCACATAGCGTAGCCCAGAGTTCACCGCTTTACCTGCATCTTTGGCTGAGTCACGGAACATCTGCCTGACCAGGTCAGGGACTCCTGAGAAGATCATTCCAGAGCCAGCTGGGTACTCCACAAACACCTTCAGCTCAAACTCTGGAGTTGTGCTGGCATCAAAGGCCAGAACACGACCCATCAGATTATGGTCTTTCCTGAAGCGCACATTAAAGGGGACACAGCTGCTGAGAGCTACAAGAACATCCCTGACTGCTTTGGGGCGATTTGGCCAGCCTTCAACCCGGCTGCGAGCCACCTCATTCAGTTCTGCCATCACCTCATTGTTCCTCCACACTGCAGGATCTATACCCACCAGAGCTGAGGTGCTAGCTCCCACACCCAGGGACACAACCTGCCTTCTGCCACCGTCTCCCATAATAGGGCCAGCTGCAATTGGTGTGCCCCCAGCCCTGGAGCCTGATAAGGGGGTCAGAAGCCCATGAGGGGCTGCTACTAACCCCTGAGCTATCAAAGCATGAGATATTGCTCCATGAAGACTAGGAACTGCCCCGACTATAGCCCGGCGGGTGTTCGGGCTCTGTCTGCTGCCCTCCGAGCCCACATCGTCAGCTCTGTGCAGGCCATTTGGGAGACGAGAAGACACCCCGTACTCACCCCTCCCCCTTTCTATACGCTCTCCATGCTGCCGCCCTGCATCAAGGGGCCCGACCGAGCTGGGTTTACCCTGCTGGGGACCGGGGGACCTGCCGTCTAAAACTCCGTGTGTGCTCTTCAGCTGCCTGGCAGTCTCAATGAGGAGCTCTATCCTGTCTGCCCCGTCGTAGTTAACACATCCCCGGCACACAGCCTCGCTGAACTCCCACAGCATGGCCCAGGGCATCTTCGGCAGGTCGCAGAGGTAGCACCATTGCCGTCTGGAGGAAGGCTGCGAGGCGGAGGACATGTTGTTTACAGGCCCTCGACCAAACTTTCTTCGGAGGCCTACACGTTACAATCTACGTTTCTTAACAATGATTCACTTCTTACACAACACTCGCCACATGGCGCATTTTTTAGAGTGGAAATGTTACGAACTACCAGATCAAAACACCACCGTTAGCGACGGTATTTTAAAGTTAGCGACGTCTTCTTTCTCGATTTGTTCGTGTCGGTCTGTGTGGAAGGAAGTAAAATGTTATAAGACACCGGAAACACCTACGCGGCTGTGGCCCAGGGCACTTTGGGAGTTGTAGTTCTTTCCTGACGACACATTATTGTGCCTTGTATTTCATGATCAAATGCAGTAGGAACAACTGAAGGTTTACACAGCGGCTTAATGAGACAGGTTATTGTAAACAGGTAGGAGGGGAATTCAACTTTGTATTTACTGACCTATCGGAGTTGCTGGAATCGGCTTTTAAATGATAGCTCGGTTATAGCACTTCCTATTCCTGAGATACACGTTTGTGTATTTGATTTAACATTTTAAATTGGGCAGGAACATTTACATTTTCCCAAACAATAAATCCCCCTTAAAAAAACGAAATGGGGAAACGTAATGTTACACAAACACCATAAATGTATGCAAGCAGCAAACAAATAATCCAAACAAAAGCAACTGAACAATAAATGGTCACTTTGATGTCTTCTCGCTTTCCCCTTTCCTGTATTGTTGTACAGGTTTGTGTGCATGTAAATGGTCTGCAAAGGCTACAATGAATGTGTTCCCTTCAGATGGAGTTTCTCTCCCACACACTCTCTGAAAAGCCTTTATTGGACTCCTTTGTTTACTTCCTTATGTAACTTCTCTATGTAACACTTGCCATATTGGCTAGCGCTTCAACACATTGTACCTGATAGGCTAAGGAGCGGGACATTTCTGACACGTCTCTTCACCATTCACAAAAAGGTGGCCAGATAACCAATCAGAGCAGATAAATAAAGACCTTTTTGAACATTAAAGCACAGAAACATGTCACAGTAGAGGCCCAAGAAGATACAACCTGAACCTGAAAAAGATCATAATAGGGCCCCTTAAAATATAATGTGGTTAGTAAAAAATAGGCTCTCATATAAGGGGATTATTTTGGATGTGCTGCTACTAACATGCTTTTTACTAAATACTTTAGGTGAATAGGTCTATTTAGGGCAATTCTTTTTCTAGCTTTAATTCATATCTTCCACTTGTGAAACTAAACCCTAATACTGAGAATAATGCAGTGTAAATTAGCTTCAAAGCCTGTGTATAGATGGTATGTGGTAAACTGAAACAGATCATTAGTAAGTCAATTCAGTATTTCCAGACTAAGTCATATTTCCAGAATTAATTACAAAAAATGACAACTTGACATTAAAATCTTGACAGTAACTAAACAGATGACCAACTCTTTCATATCTCCCATCCTTTAATCTTCATAGTGATACTCTTCTACTCCAGGTATTAAAATATGGAAGGCACCTGACCACTTCAGTACACAGATGTCAGTGTGCTCTCAAGCAATGCATTCTGATATCCCTGTGAGTTGATGTTAACCAGTCGAGAGTGAACAAATGATGAAAGATACAAACAATCTGAAATGTGAACTAAGGTTATATCAGCATTCACACTAGGGTTACTCTTCACTTGATTTAAAAAGAAATTGTCCCCATTTAAATGTATGTTTCAGGGTAGTGAGGGGTTATTAAAAACTAGTGTTGTGAAAGTACAAAATAAATTGAAAAAATGTAAATAAATCATATAAAACATGGTTTAAATAACATGTTCTAAAGCACATCAGTTCTAGTTTTTGTCAATACTGATTGAACGTTTGAATGGGAGGTGAAACCAGAACTGTGGTAAACTATATGCAAAGACACAAATTGTACAAATAGTAAGAGGGGAGAGTATTTAGTTGGCATGGTGTGTGGTCGAGAAACACAGCTTCAGTGTGTAAGGGTAAGGCCCACCTGGAAGAAAAAAGAAAGCAAAAAAAAGGTAAATGTAAAGGCTATAAAATGTTAAATACATCATAAGTCTACATGACCAGCTTTTATTAAAACATCTTTGTATATCTATGTAACAAAATAAGAACTTACTAGGGTTTTTCATCTGGAAATGGTTAATCATAGCTAGGGCTTCCATGGCATCGTTGATGGATTCCCACTCCAAAAGGCCAGAGGAACTTCGCTCACCTTTGTTCACAAAATGCTTAAATTAGATTAGTGTAATAGAAAACACTGCATGTTAATCTTTATAAATACAGTCTATATCGTATTAATGCTTTAAACTAAAACTGTAACAGATCTGTATAAGTAAGATGGGGTTTGCTATACACTAACAGTTCCCTGTACGGTTAGTTTAGAAATCTTTTGTTTTTCTGTATTTACACACATCTACTAGCACTTATTACTTTACCTTTTTCAAATATATATAAAAAATGATTAGCAAAAAAAATCACAATATACTACAGGGCATGGTGGAACTTATAATACTCACTCTTTCCGGTGAAAAGCTTCACACTTGTGGCGCACTTAATTCCTAGTTCATCGCAGACCTAAAGAGAACAGAGGTCTTAGTGGAAGTTTGAGGCGATGTGTGAAAAGCCAAATCTACACTTCCAGATAAAACCCTGGTGGTTCTCTACCTGGTTGAAGATCTCTGCAGTGATGTCGGGCTGTGCGTTAAAGAAGTGCAGGACGTTGCTCGGGTGCTGGATTCGGTTCTTTGCCGCCTGCTCTGAGGAGGTAAAGCGATTGTTGCGGGATCCGTGGAAATCTTTGAAGCTGCTGCTGTTGTCCTCTAACTGGTAGCACTGTCCCGGCACAATGGCCTGCTGCTTTGACACACTGCCAAGGAAAGAGAGACCGAGGTTGTACATCACCCCTTTTTTTTTAAAATACAAGATGTGAATTGTAATGTTTGTAATAGTTTGGACAGTTGCTCTTACCATACGTTGAGTTTCTCTCCGAATAGGAAGTTGTTGTTCAGGTGGGTGATGGCCCTGTCCACAGAGTAACAGTCTCCCATCTCCACCATTGCTGCTCCGGGCTTACTCTTCATGAACTTAATCTGAAGGTAGAACAATCAATTCATTTTTGCTGTTTCTTTTTCTGACACTTAACATTAAACTGAACATTCGGCCCCTGGTTGACGTTAATTATTTCAGTTCCAATGGTGTTCCGTCAGCATCACGTCACTCACCCTCTCTACGTTGCCATAGAGACAGAAGATGTTGAAGACCTTGTCGGCATTGACCTTGGACGGCTCAAGGCCGTAAACCATTAGAACTGGTGAGTCAGCATGAGGCCCGTACTCAGGGGGAGGGGGTCCATATCCAGGGCCGTAGCGTTGGCTACCCCTGCCACGCCCACCCATACCTGGCCCCATGCGGTGGGGAGGAGGGGGCCCGTAGTTGTCTTCACTGTAGCCATGATAACCTCCTTGAGGGCCACCTTAACCAGAGAAAACATATTTAAGGCACAGATACAGTATTGGAATGTGATCCTTTCCTTATAAACGTCTATGGGATATTTACCGTAATCCGGTGGGTGGTCTCCCAGAAGAGCGGGCTGCCTCTGGCGTTTGTTGGGATTGGCATTGGGATCTAAAATGGTAAAATAACAGTTGCCTATCAACAGGTTCCTCACCTAATGTGTACTAAGGGGCAAGGATGTGATTGACATGCAACAGAGGGGCCTGACATGTTAAGTGTTAATACGTGACATAATGGAGATTTCTTTTTAGCAGTGATTTTGAAAAATAGCTTTCAATTAAGTTTTATAAAAGACCTCTTATTAGCTATCCCAGGACAACCACACACACCTTGTGAATTGTTCCAATTGCCTTCCCCATCAGCATCTGTGCAGGTACACATACACACACGTCAAATCCAAATAAACATTAAAAAGTAGAAATGTGTATAAACATCATATCATATCCCATATTACAAACATTCTGGTGGAAGATCAGAGAGGCAAATATGTGTCAGTGATATGAGCACGTTTTATTAACTCTCTACAGGCATTACAAACAAGGATATGAGAGACGCATAACATCCTAAATGAATAGTCATCATCATCATCATCATCATCATCATCATCATCATCATCAGTTTTGACTAGATGACATGGTGTAACAGAAAGGATAACTCCCAAAGTAAAGACTTGGCTCCTAGATTTTCCAAATGTTATTGAACCAAATTAATGAAAGTCTGAGAGTGAACCACATCATCTCACAGGGCTTGTGGCGCTCTGAACTCTTTCCATCCGTTTCAGCTGCCACAGTAGCCTCGGAGCAGGCAATGGTGGAGCAAATGTGAGCCAATGTAAACAAGTGACGATACCAAACGCTCCCGAAAGACAGACCCTCCCCCGGTACACAGACGGACAGGGTGGATAGGGAGTCAGTTAATGGACTTTTAGACGCTCCACCAATGTGGCAGGCCACAAGGATTTGTCAAGGTACGCCATATGGTCAGAACCCCCTTGACTCTGATAAATGTAACTAGTGATTGAGCGAGAAAAACAATTCTGCTATGTGCTTTATTTAGATTGAAATCTTAATAACAACAATTGGAAAATAGGGTCTGACTCCTCATTTCAGTATAAAGTTCACATTTGTGTTTTCTCCAATAACTTTGAACCATTAAGTCAGTTTATGCATTCATTTGTGGAGTACTTACAGCACCACACACGGAGCATGGGACACAGTGGGCAGGTAGGGGGCAGTCTTCAGCAACGATGCTACCCGCCAACCTCTTGACTCAACTCATTCTCCCTCTTCAGTCTTTTCTTCCTCCTTCCCTTCCTTCCTTGCATCCCCACCACCAGAGAGAAAAGTACATCCACACAGCCATGCTTGGTTTTGATTGCTGCCGGTTTTGTTTTGAAAGTTGCTATAGAGGCTCATTTCCAGCTTACCGTGCTCTGACCACAAAGCAGGACATTTGCACCGTTTGAGAATGGGCTGTCTGTCCGCAGACACACTGAGCCAAACCTGCATCACTCGGGAGGCGGAAGAGGCATCACTATAGGCCGGTGCAAAAAAAAAAAGGGAAAATGAAACAACGCAGAAACAACACAAGAACATCACAGAGAGGAGGGAAATGGGGAAGAAGGAACAGGGGGGAAAACAACACCAGAGTCCATACATGTAGAAAGCTTTAGGAAAGGGTTTGAATCTGTTTGCATCTGTGCTTGTATGCTTGATAGGTGTTTGATGCTTGTGTCTTCGTA